GATAAACTGTCAACAACTAGCATGACATGTTTTGCTGTAGTGTTTATAGAAAAGTTCGAGGTCCTGTGTCTTTGTACAGGTTGGTAAAGAAGATGCTCGGGGACGTCAGTGAGAGGGAGTGACAGAGTTACAGTAACAACTCATGGGAGCCAAAGTGGAATGGTTGGACTGTAAACTTGATCCTCTGCTGCAGCTCACACTTCATTGTCGTAACCCAGGATGGGAGCGAGCCATCTCTCCACCTCCTCCACATTCATCTCTTTCCTGCTGGCGTAGTCCTCCACCTACAGATGAGACGTGCACAGAGGCCACGAGTTTAGCTCTTGTTTGGGAAGAGACCCGTAGCATCAACTACGTTTGGCCAGTGTGAGCAGAAAGATTCAGGTAGAAATGGAGCGCATAGAGAGACCAGGACATGGACAAAACAGAAAGCAGCACAGGAAGTGGACATCTCTCTTTTTCAGGTTTAAGACCTTAAGAAATCCTGACCTGCAGATATTAGATTAAAAACTATAGTTGACACATTCTTTTAGTAAACATGTTCGACACTGATGTACAGTGAGGTACATTATCAATGGATACCTGCTCCTTGGTGATCTTTCCAACAGCAAAGTATGAAGCCTGAGGGTTGGAGAAGTAAAGTCCAGACACAGAGGCGGCAGGTGTCATGGCCAGGGACTCTGTGAGACCGATGCCTACAATCACACACAAATGCACAAGTAAACACCCACACAACCCTACGCACACATGGAAATGTCCATGAGACAGACAGCAGATCAGTGGGTTGCATAAAAAACTACACCTGGCAGTGTTTTGTTAATAGCGTGGTTAGCCTCTCAGCTGACATTTACAGGATGGTTTTTACTACATCTGAGGAGGTCATTACCTGCTCAGCCTTTGGCACCCTGTGCAGATGCAAGCACACAGGTGAGAGTATATAAAAGCACTCTCACCTGTATGCTTTTTGCATGAGTGTGACTTTCCCTCTAAAAGGTGATTTGAATCACATGAATGCACAATATCAACATACTGTCATCGTGATAAATAGGTTTAGAGAATGACCTGAATCCATGTCCTGGTTCAGTTATAACTGCAGCTGGAGTTTGGAGGGTGTGAAACTAAAGCCATGATTGTGGATTACATGCAGTCATGTGATTTGATCAAATGTTCATGATAAAAATGTGAATACAGAAAGATATTTATGCATATCTGATTATTTTCATAGGCTATGAACATTTGAACACAGGCAGAAAACTGGAACTGGAAGATTTCATTTGAAATTTGTACTTAATTAAATGAATATGTGAGGTTCATCCAGACTGTTCAACCCTCCTCAAAGCTTCTGCTTCATGCTGACATCACAGCATCACGCAGCTGCTGCACAAACCAGTAATTCAGATTATTTACTGCAATACTTTGTC